GGATATTTTAAGTAGATAATCTATTTTACAGTTAAATTATCTGCCTGTTTTCCTTACTTCTGTGGGTATGTGTTAGCTTTGGTGATTGTAATCACTTTAGGGGTTCAAAAACCGAGATCTATAAAAGAAATGTTCTAAAAGATATAAGCAATGTAATGCTATAAAGAGAATACATAATAATTCAATCATAACAATAGCTTCTAGGTAATGGACAGTTAACAGTAGTGCAAAATCTGGTACAGAATCTGAGTATTGCACAGTTTCCAGAAATGTTTAGCACTTGTTCCTATGAAATTCAAGAAAAACTATTAATTTTTGTTTGTTTATTTGTTTTCTGGTTTTGCTCTACTAGGGACATTTGAAAATGCCTATGAGTTGGTCATGTGAAGTTTCATGTACTTCTGTAACTTCTGTTGTTTTTCCCCAAGGTGTTTTCATGTGCAGTATATACAGGAATATTAAAGCCTTTTTTTGTTCTTGTTGTTGTTTCAGACTTCCAGAACTGACCGTGAAGGTGTAGTTCTGAGAAACACAGAACATTCATATTGATGAATTCTTGCTAGGAATCTAAACATACATACCCACTGTTTTCAAATCAAGTACCATTCACTTCTCTAATAAACAAAAGAAAGTTGTGTTTTGGTAAATCATTGACCGGTTGTGGAGTAGTCTTGTACTCTTTGTGTTCTGTTTGGTATAAAGTACAGAGTTAATTAGCAGTGGCAATCAACCAAAGACATGACTTCAAGCAGATGCAAAAGAAACATCAGCAGTTGTCTCAGATGAGATCAGAGGAGAGGTGTTAACCTGAGACCAACTACAATAGTGTAAAGAGATGCTGTAGCAGCTGTTGTAAAACCCACACAACTCCATCTTTCAGCCCTGGTTGTGTTAGGGCCAGAACAATTGTGTCATGATCTTGGGTAACAGATTCTGTCTTTGTAATGAGTTTGGAAGTAACTAAAATAGATACCCAGTAACCTATGCGTTTGATCATTAATGCTGATGTCTCAATGGTGATGTCAGAGAACCTTTGTGTGAATATAGCTATAATCACTGGAAAGGGCCTTTATAACAAAATTAGTTATATCCTGCCACTTCAGGTGTCTCTTAAGGCACATGCTTTAATCACATGGGAATAATTACAGCATCTGATTTGAATGGCTGCTTGGGCCGTAGTGTTTTACTATGTTTAACAGAGAAGTTTAAGAACATGGTTTAGTATTTGACTTTTTTGGTACTGTGCATTATTACAATAAAGGATGAAATCCAGGCCTTGGAAGCCTCAGTGACAAAACTTTCTTTCCTTGCAGCAAGTAGAGGGTATTACCCAGAGCACTGAGAAGAGATCCGGACTGTAGACTCCAAGATACATCCTGTGGCACTATGGGTCTGGAGCTAGACTAAGACAGGTACTTCTCTCACCATTAGGAGAAATGTCTTGTGTACTTTCCCCAGTTTAAATTATATCCTTATCATTCTGTGTAAATGAGATTGATTTCTGTTTGTAAATGATAGCAGAATAGACTAATACAACTGGTTAATAGTGTAACTAATTCATAGAGATTGGTCTGATCAGGATATTTTTTCACTTAAAGAGCTGTCCTGGAAGATCTCTGTCAGCATTTGATATGCTGTGCTTTTGCTTTTAAATGCATTTGCAAGTGCTTCTGTGACTCAGTACACAATTTTCTGTCTCTGACCCTAAATATAATTGTCTAAGATGTTTCTGCTGTCAGAATTATAGACAGTGTCAGATCTTCAAAAGTAATCTTTAAAAAGTAATCTTTAAAAGCCTAAATTGTTCAGGTTTTTTTGTGTATTTTAAAAACTGTGCCCTAAGGTTGGAGTCTGTGAAATAATCTGTGTGCTGCCTTTTTTGACATGTAAAATATATGTACAGTGGTACTATACTGTTACAAAAGGTTTTTTGCACATGGCTGTATTTCACTATGACCCACAGTGTAAGAAACCATGGTAAAATAAAGCAAATAGCACTGAAGTAGTTCCAACTATTTCTATAGTCACTGCTTGTCCTCATGGGTGTCAGTGGGATTTCTGCCATTAATTGCAGCAGGAGGAGGATGTATAACCCTTAGTGAGGTATAAAGTAAAAATACCCTATAATTAGAGTTAACCTTATAAATAATCATCAAAAGTCACTTGTTTTACAGAAATGGCCTTCTAAATACAGGAGAAGCAGGTGTCTAGATTCAGACAAGTGCTTAAAACACATGTGTAAAGCATGTGACAAAATTCTGTTTATAAAAGGCAACCACATATTTAGGGACTCTGGTGGAAAGAGTTGGATAGAAACACTTGCAGAATGGAGGCCATGGTCTCAGACCTCCAGATCTATGATTCTGGAATAGTGTCCTTTACTTTAAGGGAGCTGTGTGGCAATGTATGTTTATGATTATGCAGCACTCTTTCCAGCTGTGGCCTTACAAGCACAATTTGAAGTGCTTTCTTCAAGCACATGATAAGCAGTTACAGAAATTTCCCAGTACCTGACAGCCTGTGCGAGTGAGAGACAGAGAGGATGAGAAAGAAAGTGCGTTATTGCAGACAGAAAACAGCATTTTCTCCACCAGTCTGCTTAGTGGTAATACTGAAGGAAGGAAAGGTCTAAAAAAGTCTCTAGTCACAAGCTCTTCTTAACTTTCTGGACTGATCACTGAAGCTGATATCAGACTTGCCCTGTCATTAATTTTTTACTGTTCTTAATGGAATGGTAAGTGGTGAAATTGTCTTAGATTTGTAGCCCTAGCAGGCTAATCAGTGTGGAAATAAGTGTGGTTAAATAAAGGACCTGCCTGCTAACTCAAAACTTATCTGAGCTGTCTGTGCCTTTCTCTCTCATTTAGCCATTAATATGGGTATGATGCTTGAAGATCTTCAGGTGACGCCTATTAATTTCAGCTGAGATACCATTTTCTGACAATAGGGAGAGTTTTTGGCCCTGCAGTCAGACTGCGGTTACTAATTCTTCAGAATTTCCTTTTTTTTATTGCTCTCCAGAGATGACACTGAAATCATAAATGTGAATTTGTTTGATGGACAATTCTTTTCTCACTGTTAAGGAAAATTCTACAATATTCATTAGTTAATGGAAATTGATTTTTTGCCAACAAATATAAGTCATGAACACATTATTGAGTATTCATTAACATCCTGTAGATTGCTTTAATTTCGTGTGATATGATGATTTCCCCAACGTTGTCTTGATGTTTCCTTCCTTCCTTCTCCATAATGTTTTATCATAAATGTGTTATGCATCAGAACCACTGTTGCTTTAGCAGGTAATTTTGAAATGAAGATTTCTGATTTGCAAACACTGAAACGTCTTAAATAGCTCCCACAAATACAGTGTGAGGCAACCATCATACAGGTTTTCCCAAGATTATTGCCCAAGAACGGACTTTTTAAGAGTTGCAAATTTTTCAAGAAGAGCACATAGGAGTAACTATCATGTAGGAAATATAATGTTCTTGGATGATTAAAGCCATCTAGATTTTTTTAAAGGCTGTTTGGATATATGTTTATTTCTATCACATATATAAGCCTATAAAACCCCATACACTGTAGTGTCTAGTTAGGTATTATTTTATTTATTAATTATTTATTTTATTTTTGTAACCTAATTTGATTGCTGTGTGTGTTTCTATTTTGGGAAAATCACAATTACATCACACTCTTACTTTCCAACCAGAACCCTAACTTAGTCAGTGCACAAGCTGCATGAACAACTATGAGCAACTGTTCAGAATTTTGCATTCTCCTCATTCCTATTTCCAGCTTGCTATTTCAATGTGTCTGTGAAGAAAAAAGATTAATTTCTTAGCAATTTTTTTGCAGGGGTCTTCATTTTATGATACTTTCCTCACAAACATTTATGCATTTGTTTTTACAACCCTGCGACATGTGGGCTTTTTGTTATCCTCAGTTTTAAGATGGAGAAAAGCAGTAAAACACTGATTATTGGGGCAACATGCCCCAGTTTTCCATTATGGAGCACCAGGGACTTGATTTTTCGAAGTGCTTTTCACCCAGCCCTATCCAAAGTACACCTTCCTTTGCCTTCAGTTACATTTGTGAGGGTTGTAAAAACACATCTTCTCTAATTAGGCTTCCGTGCAAAATAAACAGCTTAGAATTGTGGTAACAATTAATACTCTTTACATTGATCTTTCAAGAATTCATTTTAGCATAGATCACGTTGGTATGATTAAAGGGTTCCGAATCTCTGTTGTGGCTGTGTGCAGACCTTCAAGTATCATACTGACAGAGAGAGGAACTCTGGGCTCCTGACTCCTACCCCTGTGCAGGTAGACCCATGTCTTGCTCCCTCACTGTGTAATGGTGTGCAACTTGCCAAGTACAGCCTGGTATGCTGCATTATTTAGTGCCATATGGATGGCACTAAAGGGCATTCAGTGTGCAAAGTGGATCCAGCAAAAGGTCTTTATCCCCTGACTGCAAACTAGCACCACAGACCTTTCCTAAGATCTCTGTCCTGCTCCCAAGATCTGAGGCACAGGGAAACTTTCTCCTTTGGAAAACAAAATGTGAGCATTCGGTGTTCAGAGATGATTTAATCAGGCAAAACTGAGTCATCATCAGAAGTGGGCATATGGGAGACTAGAAGTGTTCTGACTTGAATTAATTCAAGCAGATAGAAAACTGTTTTAACTTCTTGTGAGTGGAACAATAGTGCCATCAGGTGGGCAAAGAAGGTGAGTGATTCCTTGGAGAATTTTGAATGTATTGCTATTTCAGTAATCTAGATTAATCTTGGATCCGGTTGATTTTATATTAAAATTAGTGCTAGGTCCTGCCATTTAATTAGTATATGTATCATAATCATCTGCATAAAGAATGACGTAAAAACATATATGAAGGATTAAATACACCTTTTGATTAAATACCACCGCTACCAGTTACCATAACCAGTTTTACACATGGACATTTTATTAATTCTAGTTTTTTACAACAGGTGCTAGCTATTTATGCAAATATTGAAAATTAAATGCCCCACAGAGATGCTTTATTTTCTCCTGCTCTTAATATTTTTACTAGTATCTTTAATGCCCTAAACATAGATGAGCAGAGTGGATTCCACTTCAGTGTCCCCATGGTATAAAGACCTTCTGCTTAAAACACTGGGGAAAGTGGTTTAAGTAGTGCTTGCACTTCAGATGTTTTCCAGCAATATGAAATCACTTGCCAGCAATTGTTCATGACCTTTCAGGGTACAAAATGTGTAAATACATAGTAGGCTTGCAATAGGAGAGATTGTTTATGGCATAGATACCTTGGCCTTTATTTTGACTACTTGTTAAGATTTGACCAGAACTTGAAACTCTGAAAAAGAAATAAAAGAATAATAAAATGGGACCACATTTTGTAATTGCACACTCGAAAAAGTACTTTCTTAATTTGAAGAGTTAAAATGGGAAACTAATGATACTTCCTCTGATAATCATTCCTTAAAGGTAGCACATTGTCTACTCCTAATAATATAGATACTTAAGACAGAGGAACTGCATTTAAATATCACATTGTACCATAGTTCAATGGTAAAAAGTAGTTAAATTATATACTGAAATTTTATAAACATACCAATTTAAGTTTCAGTCTTGCAAAAATCTCTGTATATATAAAAAGGGACTGACCACCTGTAGCCAAGGGCAGAATATAGACCAGCTCCTGTGTGAGATTCTCTCTACAATACAGAACAGATCTGAGCCCCACAGAATCAGATCCATAACATCCAGTGTATGGAGCAGGGCAGCTGCCTACAGTGAGTCATTAGAAAGTCTCAAAGGCAGATGTTATTCTGTTTAATAAAGGCACTCTTACCATCCACTCCAATTTTACTATCACCTGCTGCCCGCAATGCCTTAGTCTTAGCATCAGTCAAAGCTCTGACACTGACTGAGAAATTCTGCAGGAAAAGTGTTAAAGGTGAGAGGACAAATGAGTGAGACATACAAAGTACTGAAAGCATATAGAGTTTGGTATTGGTAATAGCTGTAAAATTCTAAGCCCGATTCGATCCTTGAGACGATTTCAAAAGCTCTTTGTAAATCGTTTTGAATTCAAGGGCAAAACTTCCTTTAACTTCAGTGAGAGTAAGGGTAAGAAAGTAAGGGAATGTTGCATCACAACATGTAAAAATGCTTGATGACATTTTGGTTTCATTAGATTAAGAAGGCAAAATTAAAACTGACTCCATAGTGGCAGGATTCATCTTCCCTCGTGTGTTATCTTTCTTTTTTTCTTCTAAGATGTAGACTCTTAAAGAGTGGAAAGAATTTTTCTAACTTTTTAACTTCAAAGCCAGATGAATATGATCTGGAAGATATAATTCATGTGATAGAAAGATGAGAGAAAAATAGCCCTTTGAATTCAGTCTAGTAAAAAATCTTGCAATAATAAAAAGCAAACTCTAGCAGAACTGCTATTTTTATCTTCACAGTCTGCCAGTTATCCCTACATGAAACAAGTCTTTTCAGGGCTATCAGAGTGTTTTGTCGTTGTGATCCAGCCTTTCCTTTGTTATTTGTCTTGCAGCTCCTTCAGCACAAGCACACACACACACACACACACACACATGTGTGTGTGCACATGTACACACACTCACACGTTTGTCTCTCATCCAAAGAGACAGAAGGAAAGGGAGTATTTATGATCTTATCCTCCATTTTTAGACAATGAAACACAAGCCTGCTGGTTACTCATTTATTTATTTACTTACTTCAGTTCATCTTCTTCAGTGAAGTCACTCCTGTCCTGGTTAAGAATTCCCAAGGCTTTGGTGAGCTGGTCTTTGGACTTGGAGTTGAGACCCACTTTGACAAAAATGGTTTTGTAATCGAATGAATGAGCAGCTGAAATAAGCAAGGTGAGATGAAAAAAAGTAGTTCAAGATCTGGAACAAAAAAAATAGCTTTTTGCTCAAGAAGCAGGAAATCATTCTGCAGTACAGTGAGGGTCATTACAAGCCCCAATCAACAATCTTTGATTTTCCTAAGTTTATTTCAGATTAACGGGATTTTTCCATCAATGATCTCTCAAACCTAGGAAGATAAATACTGACTCTGGTCTTCATCATGCAAGAACTTACATTTGTAAGTAGATAATTCACTCAAAAATAGATTCACAGAACTTGAGGATAAATATTGTGCTTGTATTAAAATTAGCAGTTTTATTATTATTCTCTACAAAAAACAGGCTTACAGCCTCTGGATTTTTTCCTATGTAAAATTGCTACAATGCACAAGTGATGATGGGTGCCTGTACCTTGGCTGGCAAAGATTAAAATTTGCATCTCTTCCATTACCTTGTCTCCTTTTCCTCTTTTTGATAAAACAAATAAAGCTGTAATTAGCAACCAGACATAACAAAAACATCTTACCATGTACCCTGAAGAGGAAATCAATATTTTACTGTCTAGTTCGTCCTTTCAGCTTTTCTGTTTCCATTGGAATTGGGATATTGGGGTGGTGGGGTAGTGAGGACAAAGGAATTTGATAGATAAACTGAAATCCCAAATTTAAAATGTAAATGTTACTTTGAGAGCTCTGTAGGCCAGCAGCCATTTCAGCTTCTGTCAGGACAGCAGAAAGAGCCATATCAAAGCTACTGTAAAATGAAAAATACTATTGGGTAGAGTTCATACTGATCTTGCTCTATCAGACTTTGGTGCTGCCCCACAAGGAGAGCCACGTTTGACTAGTGGGGCAGTTGCAACCTAGGTCCAGGGCAAACCAGGGGAGCTGCCCTGCAGGAGCCGACTGTTCCATCCGTTAGTTCAGATACATGCAGTGCATCTGGCTTGCTGTTCTCTCTAGTTAAGTTTTCAGGTGCACAAGCTGAGGACAAAACCAAACGTATCTATAGAACTGCATGGCATTTGGGGATCTTTGTTATTTCCATGCATTTTTTTTTTTTGTGGATTATTGCGATGTCTTCAAAAGCTCCAGAGGAAAGATTGAACTCACCTTGCCACTTAGTCTTCCCAAAGCCAAGAATAGAAAATAATGTAGGGTAAAAGTTCTGCAGAGTCCTCTTGACTTAATTATTTTTCAAATGACAGAGGTAATGATTTACATAGACTAAGTTAAGTCCTCTCAACCTTTTACAGAATTCCTAGAGCTACGCAATGGCTCAGATGCCCCAGGGGATAAGTTACTGTGGCTGACAAGACCTGCTAGCTAATCACATTGATATTTATATCCCAAAGGAATGTGTGTGGTGTTTTAGAAAATATATAAGGTTTAGTGCCATACAAAGTAAATCCTCTCAGTTTGCACCTATTTTTAGTCTAGTGAATTATTTTTGATCTGTGAATGAAAAAAAAAAAATTATTGCTTAATGATAGCAATAAATGGACATCTTCATGGTAGACTTTGACTTATAAGGCCCTGATCCTGATAGGAATTACCCATGAAACTTTACTCCCTCAATAGTCTTCAAATAATAATAGTGTTCAAATAATACTAATACTGATAAATTTGTAACAGATATATCTGACATACAAGTAGAATCTCACAGATAAAAATTTTAATTTTAAATCAGCCTAAAGTATTTTTAATAAACTGCTATATTAGCTTTGATTACCCAGTTACTATGTACTTTAGACTATAAAAGTCTAATACTGAGGACATTTGCTCAGTATTAGTTCATTGAATGGTGCACATTTTAAATCATCATAATAAATATATCCATTTTTAGAACTAAGGTTGTCAGTTGTTCAGCAGCACACAGGAGTAGGCATCAACTCATGGCAAGGAGTTCAAATGAGCAGTGAAATACATGATATTTGGCTCTTTCTGTACTGAAAAAAATAAACTTCTGTAAGGATTCAAACAGTAACTATGATCAAACTGCAGCTTTTCTCTTCCTGGTTATCAGTAGGATCCTCATGAAATCTGTTGGAACTTAATGGCCTCAAGAATGGCTGAAATCGGCTGATGGCTAAAAAGCCACTGGGAGAACATTTCACACCCTCACATATGTAAATAAATGTGCACAGAGTACCATTGTAGATTTATGTAATATTTTAATAATGCCATTACATTTAAAATAAAGCCTAGCACTTGGTCAATATAACATAAAGCTGCTGTCTTTTCTTTCAAAAATTATACACATTAAAACCAGACAAAACCTCATTTTGCATATCTTAGTTTCCCTTGATCATTTCTTCAAGAGAAGAATGCTTAGGAGAAGTGCTAACTAAATTACTGTAAACCCATGCTGTGTGGTAAATGGAACATTGTGAAAGCAAAGTTTTCCGGACTATAAAGATCAACTGAGCAAGTTACTTTTAAAGGCATTTTTAATCCTGAGGTGGTGGATTTATAAACTAAATGATCCAGTCTTTCCGATTTGGAATCTAGTTTTGCCTTTCTTTCAGGTTCCTAGAAAATAATTGAGAGTATGGCCAGGGATCAGAGAGGATCTGATAATTGTGTTGGAATTACTGAATATTCAAGAAATAATCCTCGTGAGAAGACCACATAGAGATTACAAAGCGTTTATCCATAAAAGTTTTGAGTATTTCTGTGGCAGACCAGAGCTTGCCTGTAGATGGCACCAAAGACAGTCAAGTCCAGACGTGAAATCTCTCCCGGACTACTTCGGGTGTGAGAAAACCAAGGAACTGAAAATGAGAACAGGTTAATAGGTGAGCGTTCGTGAGCAAGGAAGAGAGGAGGAAGGAGCAGATATTTAAAAGCAAAAAGTCTAGTCTACCAAATCACTCGAAAGACTGGAATATAAACAGACTAAATTAAAAACTCAGAAATAATTCTGGAGAACTTTCCTTTAATGATGATTAGGAAGAACAGGTTATTTTGATGAATAGGAAGAATCAGGTTTTACTGTGTTTATTTGACTAAATATTACAGTCTGTTAGGGAGATCATTGCAAAGATAAGATCAGTTTTTTCTGGAAGCCTGGGAATTAGAGTAGAAAGTTAGTATCTAGGAAAGACCTGCTGATTAATATCTAGTTGTGATGAAATCGCTGTGATTCCCTTTGAGTCAAGTATTCACATATTCTACTTTGACATAAGTTCCCCTTTGAACTTGGGGTCAGTAGTAGCTTTGTAACTTCAGGGGAAGGCCTTGTCTAGGGGTACCTTCTGTTCATATTGTAACCTGCAGTTTCATACACAGAAACTCTGATTTTCTTGTTTTCATGGGTGTAGGACATGCTCATAAGCAAAACAGAAGTTATGGAGCAGCCACATCCCAGCTGCTAGACAGTGTGCTCTCTGGGCCTTTGGTACAGAAAGCGTACCAAAAAGGGCCTAGCGATGTAATGGTATCTTTCTCTGCTTGCAAGCAAAAGTAGAATGAATATTAAGTTTCATAGAATGTGAACACTTTAAATTAGTTCATATTCCACAGCATCCACTTATGAAAATGTTTCAAAATATATGGACAACTAAGCATGAAAATGTTAGGTACATGTCTGTTGAGGGATTTAATCAAGATATATCTATTTCAGTAACCCATTCCAGGAAATGAATCCAGCCTTGGCCCCCTCTGCCCATACTGTATGTGTGAAGAGCTCCACGCGCCTCTGATGATGCTGCATCAAAGATTTTCCACATGGGCTGGCTGCTAACTCGGAGAAGAAACTTTACCAGTCTATGTGTGCAATAAATGTTCTGACTTCCCCTTGCCCTTTCTATGCTCTCTTACTTGTTAGAAGATGACTGTGAGATTTCAAACAGTTGGAGAGCTGAAATTGAATCTGAAGTTTACAAGTTACTCTAGGTTGAGATTTCCAAAGGAACATGAAGTTAGGAAGCAGCCAGCTTCCACCAAATACCAGGGGTTTTATCTTATGCATGATTCTGCTCTTTTATCAGGACAACCCCAAATTTCGGTTTAAGGGAGTTGATGGATTCAGTGCTAGAGCACTAGGGTGGTTTGGGGATATTAGGTTGAACATCCTGGCTCTCTATATCCTTTTTCTAAGAGATTGTGTAGGATAATCAATTTATTTGTGTTTAGCTCCCACTTAAAGGCATCATGGTACAGCTTTATTTCACAAGAAGTATTGGGAGGATTAAACTGCCCATACAGCATAATGAGGAGACTGAGGTATGTTGAGAACTCCCAGCCTTTGGGCTCAGTGGAACTCAGATCTGCCACTCACATTTTGGGTTGTTCTTTAATTTTCTTAAGTAAAGGTAAAACATGTAACCAACTTTTCCTTTGGAACTATGAAGCAGCATTATACCGAGTAGGATGATCTTACTCTAAACTGGAAAAAAGGTTATTGGTGTGATAACACAGGGTGTAGTTAGATCCTTTCTGATCTGATGTAGCATAAGCAATTTCTGACAGAACTTTGATTTTTAACTGTCTACTCAGCAGCGTTTTATTTGTGTAAGTCATTTGTAAAAGCTTGATGCAGAGGACTTAACCCTTACTTATTAGATTGCCGGAGAGGTTATAGAACCTCCATCTTGAAGATACTCAAACTCAGTTTAGAGCAGTGTGCCCTAAGCTGGCCTTCTGAGGAAGTGATTGAACCAGAAACCTCCAGAGATCCTTTCCAGCATGAATTACTCTGTGTTTCTATACCTCATTGTGGTAATATTGTGGTATCACCATTTGTCTCTTTGCTACTTCAGATGGCATCCACATAGACATCCTGCAACCAAAGTTTTTCTCTAGGGCAATAACATTGTCATGTTCAGAGAACACTCCATGCTATTCCTTAAGAAAATTGCAGGCTGCCACTGGCTGAAGTTAAATTCAGTGAGATGAACCTTCCATGAAAACTAAATTTTTGGAATTTGTTTCCTTTAGGTGGGAAATAATATCTTCTGGTTTGGTTAGCTCTAAGAATGTGGATCCCAGTGCCAACAGAAGACTTAATAAGGACTAGATGTTGGTTTTGCTGAACAGTCTGTGGGATTTTTTTTAAATTGGGGTCTTTTTTGAATTTTTTGTCATTCCTTCTAATGAAATGGCTGGACGGTTTTCATAAGATTTAAAACTCATCTTCTTGCCACGAGTTAGTGTTTAAGAAGAACAGATTTTCTCATAAACAAAATTCTCTGAGTTTTACATAAAGTTGCAACCTACACAGGAATTGACTGATTCTCAGAAGTACTTAATTCCCCCTTGTGGCAACAGAAGGCAGTGATGCGCAGTTGCTTAGCATCTCTGTAATACAGGATAGGCCACTATGTAGTCTTGCATTTCTTGCATTCCACATGAGACTTTCAGATGTGCAAGGAATGCAGTATCAGGTCTGTCACTTATGGTATTGTGTGTGCCATCTGCTTGTGAACTAGTGACCGGATATTTTAGTGATTAGTAGTGTGAAGAGCTAATGTATATATTACATCTGTATATTGCTGCAGATCTGGATTGTCTGGGTTTTTTTCTTCAGCAGATAGGAAAACAAATAAGGTAAAAGGAACCACAGAATCTCATCATTATGCAAAATATTTCAGTGCTGCAGTTAACAGCAGCTATAATTTAAGCCCAGATTTTACATCAAAGGCGATGTGGATAGAATTAGGATTTATATTCATTATAACTCTGCCAAGGCTTCAGTGAGTCTGATTGCTAGAATTCCTCTTTTGCATTAGCCATCTTAAATCTGCCAAACAGTTCTCTTACATGCCTGGGTATGAGTGAGCTGTACTTGCCTCACATAATCATCTCACAATTCATGGAAATGCCAACATTGAATGTTACATAAAAGTTCCAGAAGGCTTTGTTTCTGTTCTTCTTCAAAACAGCTGCCAAATTATGTTATAATTATCATCTAGTTTCAGCAGAGTATTAAAATGACAGTCTACTTGTGAGCTGGAAAAACGTCATGGTAGATGGGAAAGAAGAAAACTAAATGTTGGTGGGGAAATTTCCAACCCACTCAGCTAGAAGTGCACAACATCTACTCAGTCTATTGAGCTCTGGATTTAACCATGAACATTATTTACTTGGTCCATTAATGAAGACAATGCTATAACTAGCTCTAAATCCTGTAAGACACTTATCAAAGGAAAGACTAGTTCTCAGTAATTTTCAGACTTGAGAAAATTGCTAATATTATGGATTATATAGATGATTATTCATATAATAAATGAAAGAATGGAGCACTAGCCATCAGTTAGCAATGTAACAGAACTTTAAGGTAATCAAGCAGCAAGATTGGCTGGTTTGTTGTCTGTAGGAAAGACAGAAATTTACAAATGTGGCAAAGTATTATTGTTTTGTACATTATTAAGAGATAATAAGCAACATGTTCATGATTCACAGAAAAACCTCCAGGCCTGTGGCCCATGTTGTCAGGGGACTGTGACTTGTGACAGTGTCAGAGTTGGGATTAGACCCTTCTCCTCTATCTCACAGCTGTCTTAGATTTCATGAAAGATAAATCTTCTTAAGGGAGAGTTACATTTTAGGCCGTAAACACTTTCTGATGATACATGCTGTAGCCTAGTACTTCATTTTGTAAAATTACCCACAAACTTATTCTATGTTTTGAGCTATGTGTCAACTCCTCTTAAATTTTTTTCTCATATTCTCAGGGTTGGAACATAATATAAATTATTTTTAGGTATCTTGTTAGTATTGCTTTTCCTCAAGAATCAGAGAATTAAGCAGAAATAAAACTTAATTAAATCAATACAATTAAGCCTTAAAAGATGTCATATTGTTTAAGATCATCACCAGATACAGGTCTGGCAAGTCAGCATGGTCAAGTATGAGGATGGAAAACCTAAACAAAGTTTTAAAAGCAGCTTTTCCCCCCCAGGTTGTGGGTTAAATTTTTTTCTTTTTCCTCCCCTCTACCAGCCACAATTTCAGCATTATGAGTGGCGGAAAATCACAAAGTCCCTTCTTTACAATGGAAATGTAACAATACCACATGACCAAAACATCTGTACATTGCAAGATTTCTCAGCAATCCGGTGTCTGAACTTGATGTATGGGGAATTGTTTACTCCTGAAACAATATAACAATGTACAAACACATGCTGAGTGCGGAGTGCTTGTTGGAAGAGGTAATTGGAAGAGTCAGTCCAAGATTGCCTTTGGTCTAATGCTGTTTATGCCTTCACCAGAGATTGGAATTCTGTCAAGGAAGAAAATGAGAAAGGCAGGGAATAAAACTAGATGAAAGTGGTTCTTAACATCTTTAGAAAAGACAGATAAAAATTACTTAAACTCCTAGCCATGGAGGGCTCCCGAAGTTATTATAACACTGCACAAGCTATTGCTAAACTGAGATTCTGGGGGCGTAACAGATTTTTCACTCCTTAAAAAGAGTAAGTGCAGAGAGGAGGAGTGCGTCTGTAAATTCATATTTATGGGAAATCCTGAGTTAAAGGTAAACTATCTTTAACCCATTACAAACTCTGATAATAGCAAAGGAAGCGGAAAGTACATTAGGTTGAGCCTGTAGCTTTCAATATGAGGGATTTTTTAGTTTTGTAATTCCAAAGAAAAATATCAGTAGTGATGTAATTTCAAAATGGGAGATTCAATGGTTAAGGGCTAAGATCTGCATAATATAATGCCCTATTTGGGGCTTATAAACAGAAGCTGCAAAAGCTGCTGCTAAAGCAAATTCCTCCAACAGTGTATCTCTCTCTCCTCCCAAACTCTGGCTAAGATTAGCACGTGTGTCTGTTAGAGTTATTGCCACCTGTCCTAGTTCAGCTGAGACAGCCCTGTTTTCAGTGACTTCATCTCTAATATATGATGTATAATGTCCTATTTTCCTTTGCTGCAATTCTAAAAGAAATATCCTGACCAGTTCACATCATCCCTGTGAGGTTTTCTTTAGGAATTTGATTTAGTTTCTCGTAGGACTGCCCAGTGAAATTTGCACTTAGCAGATAATTCTCCAGCACAAAATTCTGTACTGCATTGCAGCAGTTCTAGCCTTGAAAAACAATACCAGTCTTATTTTGCATTACTGAATTAACCACTCAGTAATATTGGCTAATGTCTGATAGTGGTAGATGAAGAAATAAGTTTATGTAGGTGGAAGTGTGTTTAAAAATGACAGTGACATATGGCCAGAAGTGCAGAGCACCCACTGCCGAGATGGAAATTCAGAGAGTGAATAGGTGTTCAGGATGTTTTAAAAATCTGGGGCTTTTTGTCTATGGATCAGACACATGACAAATTAACCCCAAATCTGTTATTATTGATTGGAAGAACAAGCTTTATACTGGGCCTAGATATGCTGTTGCCGCAACGAGATCTAATGGGAATAAAGCTATGACAATAAACAAGTATTCACTAGTATAAAAACTGTGGCAGAAAGCACCAGGCCAAAGTACTTGGATGTACTCTTCATGCCACAGTTTAAATGCAACCCTACATGCATTTTTAAACACAATTTTTATGAAGTTTCCAAAAGTCTTTACCTTCCACTCCAATTTTGCCATCACCATCAGTGTCACCTGCAGCCAGAAAAGCCTTGGTCTCCGCAGAGGTGAGGACTCTGGCACTTGAAGAGAAATTCTTCAGAAACAGCCTGAAATAGAACAGGGTGGAGCACTGTGCTTGAGTTTAATTCTTTGAAAAGTCCCTGACATGGTATTTCTTGTTTTCTTAAACCCATGTCAAAAACCCCATAAGGTAATGCCTGCTCTGAGTATCTGAGAAAATCCAACAGATTCAAGGAAAGATAAGGAATTGTGGTTTATTTCTGAAATAACAGAAAGTTTCTTCTAGAACACTAAGCAAATTCAAAGGTTTGGATTGTTTAAAGAAATACAGCAGCTGAACAGTACTTACTGAAGCTCTTCTTCTTCGATGAAACCACTCTTGTCCTGATCAAGGATTCCAAAAACTTTCTTTATCTGATCAGGAGATTTGCTGGTTAAACCAACCGTGGAGAAGAAAGACTTGTAGTTGAAGGAATCATCAGCTGGAAGAAACAGAAGTTGTTTAAATATTTTCTCTTGAACTTGCTACTACTGTATGTGTCCTTGGGAATATGCGTTTTCTTAATCATCAGCCTGCTCCTCTTTCTTGTGTTCCCCAGAGTAGCAAAAAAGAAGATACAGTGGATAATTTCCCTTTTTAATCACTTTGTGTCTGGTCATGTATCCTTTCAGTCAGTTTGAAGTTTTCTGCTACAATGCACATTCTGTTAAATCAGGATTTATGCAACGTGTCTAAATGCAATTAATAACAAATATTTAGAGGCTGCTACTGTGGCTTACAGACCAACTCCTATAATTCTTACTTTATTTTCACTTAGTCCTTACTTTGGTGAAGAATTTGGTAGAAAAGTAAGTAACTCACAGTCAAACTACCTCTTTGAGCATTTGGAAAATTGTCTTGATCTTGCCGAGGAACTCTTAAGAGAACTGAGACTGGTCATTGCTTCACAAATGACACTTTGATTCTGCAAGCTGAGGCTTTTTTGACATTTTGAAGGAAAGGTTTAACTATTTAAATGTAAGTCTTTAATAGGTTGAAAAATCGACAGAGTTTAGAGTTAAGCCAGCCCTAACTGAAACTGTGGCCCTTTAATTGCTGCTCTGTGTTTTGGGGAATGTACCCACCAAATAACCACTTGTGAGACTTCCTGAATTCAAGGGACTATAGTGTAATGTAGCTAGAAAGAGATCTCACGGGGAAGGAATCTAAGGGGAAAATGATAGGCATGTCATCTTAAGACATAAAAATGATACGCATCTTGTGGCTGCAGAGAGACCATTCCTTACCCTGGCAGCTGGAGAGTGCAGATTCAATATCTTTAGCAGAAAGGATGTCAGTGATGGCCATTGTTGAACTGTAAAATAAATTAAATGTGAGCTACTTAGTCATTAAAATGACTTCTCTACCTCTTTCATGGCTCTATTTGAAGTTGCTGCTGTGACAGTGTATGATAAGGGAGACATTATTCATCTAATTGTAAGCGGAGCATACTGTAACAGATGTCTGCAGCAGGTGCTTCCACTTAAAGCTGGGTAATGAGGGAGGAATTCTGCATGCAGGAGGATCTGATGCCTGTACTGCACTGGGGGAGCGAATCAAAGGTGTCTAGCACCACAAAGCTTCATGACTTTTTTTTGGCTTCTGGAGGTGGATGATTATTAAATTAAAATAGGCATATATTTACAGCATACATAAAAGATAAGGCTAGTATGTCTCTTGGAATAAATGGAATTTTAAAAAGCTAGTAGTATTATCAATAAATGTAGTGATATTTTCAAAGAATGAAAATAATAGTGTAGAATAAGTAATAACAATTTTACTCATTTCAAGGAAACCTAACTATGCTATAAATTTGGTTTGCTGAGCTGCTGCATCATTAAAAAACTACATTTCATGATAGCTTTATAAAAAAGTTTTTTTAAGTATGTTGTGTGGGGGGGTGTTAAATTCCGTGTAGGTGATAATAAACCGCATTTTTATCTGGATTTTGTCATTTCAGTATATTGATGTGCTTAGGACAGAAGTATTGATACTTAATATTTGTTCCTAGCAGAGTGGAGGAGGCGTTTTCTTCTGACACAGCAGCATTTGACAAAACATACTCTTTGTACCGTTCAGCCATGAACAGCTGCAGTAGCTTGCCAAGGTAATACATATTGCTCAAGAAAATGCTACAAGGCCTGAATTTCTAGCCAATTTTTTGAGTGTGAACATAGCATCAATGCATTTACAGTTTGGTAAACTGCACACACCAGTGCAGACTGGTTACAGTTTAAAACTTGCAATATTACTCTAAAGTAGCTCCATGTTAGTGAAGGAAGAGGAACTAAGGCATAGAAGATTATTCCCAAAAGCCCCAAAAGAACAGAAATATAGCAACATCGTTCCTCCTGTTTAAGCATGGAAAGCAGCATTCATGAGAAGGAAACCAGTGCTGGTAACCATTTATAGTCAGTGCACTGGTTGGAGATCTACATACAGGTTTAAACTTTGCCTAAAATATGAAAAGTCTGCCTCTGTACCTGTTGGTTTGCAGCAGAGGAAATTGTCCATCACTTCAGTCCCTTTCTGAATATCTCAGAAGGTGTAAGGAGACAATGGGAGAAATTCACGCTGATGGCGATGGGTACTTCTCCAGCTAAAGCGGATGAGTTACTTTTGTTTTGCTAGTGATTATTTTGTCCCAGTAGCTTCTTGTGCAAAGTGCTTCCCCCTCTCAGCACTACGCAAGATAATTTGGAGCTCTGCCATTCACCTAATTCTCACTGCTGACAAGATTAAAAATGGGGAAGAGTTGAAGGAAAAACTAAAAATTGCAGCATTTTTTACAAGGGGCATCATTCCTGTCTTTTTCCATCCTGTGATCTCAATGCTGATTCTATTCTATGTTAGCTTGTAAAGATACGACATACTGGAAGCTGATATAAGAATAGTTACTTTAATTGCGTAGGCTCTTTCCATTTAGGGAGCATTTTGCTTTGTGTTTCTTTTTCTGAAAGCAGAGGATCTAATCAGCTTACCTTTGTGGTCTTCTTGGCTGGATAAGGAGGCAATCTGGTTGGGAGGAACGTACTTGCTGTGTGTCTCCAGCAGAGCTGATCTTGCATATATATACTTTAAGTTGTATACCATATACAGATTTTAGATTTCAGCGTCACGAAGGGGGAATGGTGTCAAATGAACTTGCCTAACTAATCATCTTGCACTATTTTTATCTCAAGAGAATACATATGATATTTGCAAACGAAACAAGATAAGTGGCTGGATAGGCGAAAAGGACAGAGTCATATTAAATTTCTTCTGATTTAAGCAGAAAATACCAACTCCTCTATATGATGTAGGACAGGAAAAAACCCCACTATCTGATATGCTTGATCCAAGGAGTCAGATGAAATGAAGCACTACTAACTTCTGAAGAGATGCCTTTAATGAATGTTTAAATGTGATAACTTGTTATCTTATCTGTGGACATTCTGTAGAGTTTCATCATTAGAGCACTAAACAAACAAACAAAAAATATCCTGTTCAAATATTCGTGTAGCAAACCATTTAGGGAAAACAATAGTCATGTTGTCTCCCAGAATGTCTGGTTTGTTGTTTTGAAAAAAACCCCATACAGTCAATTTGTTGCTACAGGAGGTAAAATAATATTATGTCAATCCATAGGAACAGTTGATTGGGGGAGGGTATTTCGTCTGGTATGTTTCCAGAGAAAATCTTACAGTTCTGCAAGGTTCTGACATCCTGTTTAGTCATGTATGTATGAAGCAAAGGGGTTGTGATCTACCCAGCTGTCTCTAAGACAAAAACCCCTGAGCCCTACATGAAGGATCTTTGCTTTCAGAACAGAGAGAAAAATTTCAATGGCAGCATCACTGCAGGGAATAATATGTGAAGAGTGGTATGGTAATTTTTTAGCCTACCTTCTGATCTCTTTTAGAGAAGTGATTATTTTTTAAAATATTTTGTCCAGTGCTGTTTCAAAGTGTTCCTTTGTGCTAGATCATTTTAAAAAAAAAAGCATAGAAACAATTTGATCATCTCAGTTTTCGTTCATGAACGTTGTATCCTAACTGGCTGAGGAGCCTGTCAACTTGGATCTCACTTGTGCCTTGAAGCAGCAGAACAGTGGAAGATAAGTCATATGGATGACAGCACAGGATAGCATTATGACAGGGGTAAGGGTTGGCAAGAGATGACAGTGCAGTTGGCACCTTGGTGGTGGCACAGTAAGAGGTGACAGTGCAGAGATTGTTTTAATGTCAGAGACAGCATCAAGGCATCTTTTTTCCAGAGCATTTCTCTCTAAGATGGAAGGCAAACCTAGCCAAGGTTTGAAGCCAACCATTAATAAATAAATCATAGTATGAGGCAGAAAAAGTGGCAAATGGGTACCTATGAGCCCTTAGTGCATCCAACATAGACAGCAGCTGATTAAAAAGCAACAAAAGTCTATTGCAAAAGATACAGTGTGTGGAGGGGGTGTTATTTTGCTTACTGAATAAAAACATAAGAAAAACTATTGCTACAAGGTTTTTTTTCTTTTTACAAATTCTGAATGTCTGTCCTTCATGAAAAAGTTTCAGACACAGATAATTATTGTGAGGGGAAAAACCATTGGTTAAGAATGGCTGTGGAAGATTTCAGCTTTCCCAGTTTTGTGAATGGGTTGTTGACCAGCTGACGCTGAAAAATTTCAAGAAGAATTTGATGGATAGATATTTAATACTGGCTCTTGTTGCCACTGGTGACATCTGGTAGAAGGGATACAAATATCACTTTCCCCCCTCAAAGTCTTGTAAGAAATTACTTTTATTCTACATGGGAAAAAAATTCCTCCCTTGTGCACACACCACCCTTTTCTCCCTCTCCAATTCGGAAAATTGCCTACATAGTGCCAACAACTGATGTGAAGTAAGTAGGGTGTCCAACATAAAAACTGATGGCATGGTATGACCTAATGAAGCTAAGTTAAGAGGAAGGCCAAATTCTGCTGAAACTCTTGGACTGCAGGAGTCTACATGGGAATTTGGTCTCTGGTGTCTATTTCAGAGAATGCATTTGATTTTAGATGCAATGGCTTCTCATTTTGCCCAGAGCTAATTCCACATATGTTAACCCCTCGCCCCCACTCTTCCCTTTAAAAATAGCATTGATTGCTGTTATTTCCCTTAATGCCTGTGGACTGTTGCCATTAGGTTGAACTTCTGTATGTGAATCACATAAAGATGGAGTCTTTAAAAAGTGTGCTTTGTTTTCTAAGAGGCTTCAAGAAGATGTTTCCTTTTGTTCTTTGAAATTTTAAGGATAAAGCATGAACGTTAAATGATGTATGGTGGTAGTCTGTTGAGTTGCATTCAGACTCCAACAAATTTTGGAGTCACTTTTGCAGTGAGATTGGAGGCACTAGAGATCCAGAACACATGCGCTGGCTGGCGGGGTGAAATGCACAAGGATCATGTAACTATTTACAACCAGCCTCCAACATTTTATTTTCAAGCCCTACATTAGAGATTGCAAAAACATCTGTTTGGTCATTTTTACTTTCTTAAATCAAATACTGTTAGTAACTTTCCAGCTGTCATCCCACTTGGCAGGGAGAGGAACTGGGGATGTATTAAAAAGTACGGAGAGATATCCCTTTCAGATTGTCAGGTTACCACTAAAAGCAGCTTTAAATCCTGGGACTTGAGCATTTCACTTTGCTTGAGTCTCATTGCCTTCTAGAGGATTCTCTAATGGAACGCTCCTCTCTTGTTTTATTCTTCCCATTTTCAATCTTAACTCTTCTAACACTTGAACTTACCTCCCCAGGTTGAAAAGCTGTATTTTAAGCCAGTGGTTGTTCTATAATATACTCCTATCATTTTTCTTTGAGTGCTGACATGAATTGTGTGTGCAATAGAATAACAAAAGTACATTAAACAGTTGTGAATGCCCACTTTAAATAAGTGTGATTTGCTACCCTTGTATATGCCTGAGATCATTTTCCTTGAATGCTTATGACAGGAATATCCATAGTCACCAGTCAAGGAATAGAAATCACTTTATGAAATGTGTTTAACCTATTGTTAAAAGACATGTGAATAGTGAAAGTAGAATATTCATTCAGCTTGTAATTTACTTTTGGAATACATGAGATGAAAGAAATTGTATGAATGTAATTTAGTGTAATTGTATTAATGCATCATGCTCCGTCATTTGAGGAATGTAACTCTTGGAGTGATCTGGAAATATTTGTGAGTGGTTTTAGGTTTATATTACTTAATTTAACATCTGTAGGTAACATGTAACTAACCCCCAGTAAAATGCTGGAAAAAAAATAAAAGCTCAAGCAGTTGCTATGGGGTGAGGAAGCTGTACATGGGAAACATAAGTTTCCCGAGTCACAAAAATTAAATAATTTATTTTTCACCAGTTATCATTCTAGTGTCAAGTGGCTTCACTCTTTGAGATAGATTTTCAGAGATTCTAGGAAGGTACAGTGTAACTTTTCAACTTCAAGTGCCCTTCACAGTGCTAATGTACAAAATTTCTTCAGTCATATTTTTCTTACATGTGTAAAGCTTAATTTTTAAGCCAATTGGATTGTTTACATAAATCAGAAAATTTACGGTTCTGCATATCTAAGATTTGCAAGAGAGAGTTTCAATTCTGATTGCAAAATTTGAAAGGAATACGGTCCAGATGTAAAATCTATGTGATTTCTCAAGCTGTAGCTTGAGATTTTTGTTTCTGAATTCAGACCTTCCAGTTCACTTCCATTTGTTGCTTTCTGAAAATATTCATGCATTGATGCAGAAAGAAAAAGGCCTTTTTTTGAAGAAAGAAATTGACATAGAATGATTTCTGAAATGATAAATTCGTGGGGATGTTAAATCTGAAACAGTCATTCTTAAATGGACAAAATACTTGATCCTCCAGATGTCTCTATCCATAGTTTAAAAATTACATGCAGCAAGTGTCAGAAAGCCTATAGAATAAATAATTTTCCTGCTTTAATTCTGAAGCAAATAGTTTACTGTTTTTGGAAGTATCCTAATAAAATTGCCAATAAAAAGGTATGTGTGGGATAATCATTTTTTCTGAGTGGAAAATAAAATCTGTTTTGTCAAGGCAGTCTTCTCTAGCTAAGTTGATAGTGAAGAAATGTGCTGAAGACAGAAGTTCTATTCAATATTTGATTACTATATTCTGTTCATGAGCTACGTTTTTCAAGTCCCGTCTGTTAACATCCCTAAGCAGGATCCTTGTTACAGGAATTGTAACATTAGTCTGTGTGTTTACACTGCGTAGCCCAGTGCAGCCCTGCTCCCTGACTGTGGTTTATAAGCGCTATAAATAATCATCAGTTGCAGCAGGCTTTCAAATATAGATATGGTTGAAATTAACTCAGATGTTTTTGAGTCTGTCTGTATGTTTTTGTATAGGCCTTATCACACTGTGTAAACAGTGTATCCCACTATAAACAGAAACAGCTCCTTGTAGTTATGTAATTGGCAGGAGCGTGAAATAAGAATTAGGTCATTATTCATACATATACTAATCTAGTGCTGATATTGCTGAAGAAAGCAGTACCTTTGATTTTTCTGGCAGGGTTGCTTGTCAAGGATATATATATATTTCAAGGATATATGGGTTTCAAAAAAACCCAAATGCTAGCTGACATAAAATTGACTCTTAAAGATACTTTTCCTGTGCACAAAGCCCATACCCAACCTGATTTATAGGTGCCCCATGAGGTGTGACTGAACTCCCTGCCTTTCCATTTGCTGAGATCAGGAAATGGTAAAAACTTGTCACAGCTCCAGTCCAGCGTGTGTGCTTGGGCTTCTTCTCTATGGAAACTAGAGTGTGATAAGGGGCTGACCTGTGTTTGTCCAAATGTTCGTGTCTCCAGGGCATGCACCCAGACTCAGGAACTCAGAAGCATTCCTTCATCCCTCATTAGACACTGCCAACATTGCTGACAATAATTAAAATGAGGAGTTTTCTATGAAAAGTAAGCTGAATTAATATGGAAATTGGTACTAGAGACATAATGGCATCGGATATGAAAGCATTAAGTCTTTACAAACAAGAATTCATTGAGCATTTGAGAGCTAAGCCTGGTTTGATCAAATGGTGCATCAATAAAGTGATTCCACTGTTCAGATATTTAAAGGATCAGTGGGATGAAAAGACAGAAGCGGGCATTGTTCTTAAAATACAATGCTGCATTTGTGTTGTAGCTCCTGTAGAATTCCAGTGTCCAGATAGTCCAGTGATTTCAGGCTTTAATTGTATAGTATAGAACAACACAGACAGAAAATGTAAGTTCTTATTATTCATTTATGGGCAAACTGCTTCATAGTCACTATGGATCCTATTAGCAAGTTGCTGCAGTCAGGTGTAAAGTAAATCAAATCTGTTGCTCTGAATGAAAAAAAATAATTACTGTATTCTAGTGTTAGATTCACGTAACAGTCTTTCCTTGAATTGTCTTGGCCTCCATCTGAGCTGAATTATAGCACTGATTGCACTTTACTAAAATCATACATTTAAAAAGGAATTTTACTAAACTGGAAACTTCAGGAGGAAGAGTCTATGTTAATCTCTGGGGCAGAAGGCCTGTCTCCTTCTTAACAGAAATTCAAATCTGGCTGTGACTGGTTAGCAGTTGCAGCAGAAAATGTCCTTGAACTGCTCAGAAATCAATTAGAGCTCTTGCTCACCAAAGACGAGGCCTGCCAGCGGTAAACGGGGAGATGTCTGATTGCATCTAGTCTCTGAGCCAACTTCAGAGCCGTAGTATAATCCAGAGACAACAAATGCTTGAGGAAAACTTTTGAGATTCCTGGATCAGTCTTGTAATTTTTGAAGGATTTGACTCATTTTTTAACTTATACATTTGGATATACTATATGACAACTTCCAGATTTGAAAATCCAGAAGGTTAGAGCAGACGGTATCTTGCTGATTCCTGAATTCCTATATTGGCTTGTCCTTTTCTGGGTAGAGGTGGATGGAAGCAGGTGTTAAGTAAAATACATGCTTAAGTGCTTTGCTGAATTTGAAAAGTAAGACCATTTTGCAAATGTATTGTATGTCCTACACAATGCTGAGCTGGGCTGTACAAGCTGCAGTTCTGGGCAAAACTTAAACTTGGCACTTAATTTTTTTGCTGGAATGTTAATTAGTTCTGTGCACAATGTGATGTTACTGAAATTTGATTATCATATGAAATGTGAAGCTTTTACTAAGCAGTGCTCCAAAGCTCTTATCTCAGAATACCACGGTAAGGTAATTTCAGAATACCAAATCCCAGCTATTTCCTGAAAGTTACAGCTATATAAAACTTTACTTAACAGTGATGTTGAAAAATGCATGCTAATCAGGGCAGAAGATCTTCCCCATCACATAACGTTATAATTAATGATGTCATCAACAGCAGAGACAGTCATTTAAATTATGAATGCTTCTGGTTATGAATGATGGAATTTTTTGGCATAGGAATTAAAGTGTATGCATTATTAGAACTAGTAGAAGAATTCAAGTCATGCTTTGTAAAAAAGTAGAAAGTTAGACATGGTTTAATGTTCATGAATATTTGGGTAACCAAACTTATTTTTCTGTTAAATATGTAGGTATTACAGAACAGATAGAGAAGCATCCACTGAATAATGTTTGAAAGTTGTTCTAAGCCTTGTTGAAGTTGGTATATAAGGCCATCACTCTTAAATTAAAATATCTATAAGCAGTTATATCAGTGCCTTTATGGATGAAGGAAGCTGAAATGATCAGCTTAATCTTTGTCCATCTGTTCTATTTGGATGGAGCTAGTCTAGGGAGCTTTCTGCTGAGTGGTGACTCTGATGGATCTGAGGGAGAGTGACTTCCTACATAGGAGTGACCTGCTGATCTGGAAAATTTGCCTGAATATCTTCTATAATCATCTTTATTTGCAGAATTCACTTCTATTTAGACCCTGGGTATATTGACAGCATTTAGTTAAGTTATGTGTTATTAATGAAACAAAGAAAAACATGGGAACTCACCTTCTGCTGATAGGGCCAGCAGGTCACCTGCCAGAAAGAGGATTTCCTTTGGGTGAGTGGAATTGAATTTAAAAACCAGAAGTATGAAAAACACGATCTGATAATCAAGCATTGCTTTCACTGTATCTTGGTGTCCTAATTCTGCCAGTTCTTCAGGAAGCCCCTAGGGTTTTCTAAGGAAAACTGTGTAAACAATGATAAAATTAGCCAGACAGCTATTAGAGAAACAAGACTAATCAGTAAAATGGAAAATAAAAGTGCAATCTTTAGAGGTTAAAATGCTGTAACTCCCTTTCCACAATTGCTTTTATGCTATTCTATCAAGGGAAACATCCATAAACCTCCTGGAGACTGCACTCTGGAGTATCCCCTGTGTAGGGATACTGCCTAGGAGGTGGGATTTGAGCGTTAGTTCTGGGATGAAGCCATGGTGCTTTGGCCCTTGTTATCCCAGCTTCTCCAGTAAGCCCGGTTAGAGCCCATGGCAGCTTGTGGAGATTGCAGCTGGCTCTAGGCAGTGCAGAAGCCATCATTACACAGCCTAACTCAGCTGTGCAGTGGGCCTCTAGGAAGAAAAATAGCCTGAAAATCAGCTTTCTCAAAAGAGCAAAATCTGTTTTGAGATACTGACTCATTATATATAACTGAGGAGAGTTTGAGGGTTTTTTTGTTTATATAAAATAATCTGTGTAAGCTCCAGTGAAATAGAGCAGCGATTCGTTTCTCTAAAGTGATCTTACAGCGCATACTTCAAAGTGCAAGCACTGGACTGTAGGCCAGTTGCTACAACAATTTTACAGCCCTGCTATAAGCAGTAGGAGTCAAACTAAATATCCTAACCTACTGACTTGTAATGACATGGGCTTGATGTAAGAAATTCAGAACTGAGCTAATATAGTTACTAAACTGTCTGTCTGTGTCCAGGGAATGCTGAACACATGCGGAGCAGATGGAAGAGATTAAAAAAGACTAGAATTATAGATGAGAAATGTTCACAATTAAAGTGACAAACAGATTTCTGTGTATGTCTCTTTTCTGATTATTTTGAAGTGTGTTAGGGTGAAAAAGGCTTAGCATATAAAAATTATTGTTAACTCCATTTAGAATCAAATTCATTTGACTCAAACAATGCTTTTCAAAATGATCTTTGTAAATTCCTTGCACTTCAGCCTAGCAAAAGCAAATCATTATGTTTAACTCCACCACTTAATTTATGACCATTTTAAGTTGTCTGATGAATTTGATAATTCAGCTTGTCCTCTACTGTTTCAGCTACTAAGGAAATTCCAGTTAGGATCTGCTGGATCAGATATCCTGTGTCTCAGCTGACCCAAAATCCCCATGATGGCTTTAGCACCATTCTTAAGACAACCATGCAGACTTAGTGACGAACAGACTTGTTTACCTGATCATGGCAGAGGATTTAATTTAGAAGAGAATGGCATCAGTATTAGAAACTTTAGAATTAAAGGATGGTGTCTTGAATATTCTTAATTTTTGCTGCTATTTAGTGCAATTCATTAATGGCAATGAATTAAGTAGAAAATAGAAGCAGCTTAATGGATCCCTCTTGTTGGGGGGAAATTCCACCAAAATTGTAAGTGAAGAGTAAATCTTTCTAGGAACCTTAGATTTTTTTTCAAAACTCTAGTTTCTGAGGATCATGTATCTTACTTCCACTGCTTATACTGAGCAAAGCTGAATAATACTGTAGTAAGAACTATCTAGCTTGTGTTGCTGCTCACAACACTAATGGTATGGTCGTGGTGCAAAAGCAACAGTACCAAAGTGAAAAAGACCATTAATTTTACTTCAGCCCCAGGGTTTTCTAAAAGGACAGGCTCTCAGCCAGCTAAACCGACCTAGTTCATGTTAAGACTGTTTTTATGGATCCCTGACAGAGTGTAAAATTACAGAGTGGCCAATGCAGATAAAGCTGACACATACGTTCAAGCCTAGATGGAGTTTAGGGCTATATTTAACAAAAACACTGGGTTCTGTGTTTGGGTGATACACTCTGCCTCTGTACCCAGAACAGTCACTGGAATCCAAACTCTCTCCAGCTTCTCCTGTTGATTACATCCTACATATTGGTTTCAAATTTTATCAGATTGTGCTTGCTTGGGGAAAGAGGTATGGTTTTGAGGTAAACACACGGAAAGGTATTTTCTTTAAATGCATCCCATTTTTAACTCGCAAGGACTTAGTCTCTTCTCTCCATAGTGTTGGTAAAAATGCAGCATTGTATTTCCTGTCTTTTCATGCAGGTGAAAAACTACAATCTTGACAGGCTAGGGAGAAGAGACATATTTTCTGATGATGCCATGAGCATGTCTTTGCAACAGCACTAACAGTCTGTCTCCTGCACAATGTGGACAAAACACCTGGTTTTGCCTTTATCTCATAGTTGATAACATTAGACTGCTAGAGTTAGGTTTTTGAAAGCGCCTGCATACTGAATGCTGAGTTTTAAAAATCTGTCTGTAAATATCATAATAGAAGCTGCTGGTGCAGTGGAAAACCTGGGAAAAGTGACTCTTCTGAAATACTGAAATAATTAGGCCCACTCCCCAAACAAACGTAATGCTCTGTCTGCATTGTGTCGACTTTGAAATATATGCAATTACTGTTCTAAACTCCATTTGAATCATATGTGACAGAAGTCATTCCCTGGTGGTAATGGCTATTTCTGTTCTGAGGAATGCTGAGCACTTTCCAGATCTTTCTGAGATAGTTTGCATCATCTGACATTTCTGCAGGCAACATTTGCTCGATGGTGAATTGGATTGTAAATTCTACAGCTGTGAAGTTATAGGAAACAGGAGTCTTGGCAAATCCCTAAATAGGCTCTGGTAAGGACTGAGTGGGAATTTAATGAATACAGATTGTGGAATCAGTCTCTTAATTTGTTTTGATTAAGGTAAAATGCCTATATAATAGGTTTTTCTGTATTGCATTAGTAAGTATGACAACACTGAAATTTATTGTGTGCTCCTATTTATATTATTTTTCTTTGCTTTTCATTCTTGTAAAACTTTTGAGTTTCTCAGCATCGGGATTGTGTCCTCTTTTAGCTTAGTATTTGTATTTAAATCCTCCCAGCTGAATAACTTACAAAGAAATGATCTTTTGAAGTCAGTAACACTTGGAAAGGATTTTCCCCTGTGCATGGAAAGGCAGGCTCTTTACGTGTGTGGTAGCTGTGTCAGACTTTTCTTTATGATTTTTTGTATTTACAGCTTTATAAGAAGAGGATGTTTAAAGAATTGCACTTTATAGCAACTGATAGTAATCAGGAGGTTTTATCCTGCATTAAGGAATCCCTCTGACCAGAAACAGTTTTTTTGGTGAATGAATCAAGATCTCAGTGTGTCTCACCCTGGGTATCCCTGTAGTCTGTCCAAGACCAGCAATATCCCTGTGTCCTGCCTCTCTACCCTTGCCAGTTCATACAGCACAGTGACAGCCACTTTGGCTGAGGAGGGCTGGACATAGCTCTTCCAGAGGCTGGTGCTGTCAGTTCTCTATTGGCTAGAGAACAGATGATATTGCAGAATGAAATTAACTTTAACTAACTGGAATAAATACAATACACAACCTGCACAGTGTTTCTGGGTCCAGGACAAGGAAATTCCATGGCTTTTTACAGGGACGGGAGTAAGATTCAGTCTTCCAAGCACAGCAATCATTTATAAATTATAGGGACAATCATATGATATTTATAAATGCCTACTATACAGAGACTTCCTGATTCCATTGAAGTCAATGGCAAAATTCCCGTTGACTTCAGTGTCAACAGAATCTGGACTGCAATAAGACAAATGTTTCCCATTAAAATGATTATATAATTAGCATTGGGAAGCTGCTTAATGAGGTGGATCTGATAGCTACAGAAGCTGTGGATCATTAGTATGAATTGAATCTTTCTTTGTTTCTCTACTACTTTAATTTAAAATTAAATAGTGTCCTTGTTTTTACCAAGCTCTTTAAATTTTTCATCCTGTACCTCATCGTGGTTAATGACATATAATAATAATAATAATAATAATTATTATTATTGTTATTGTTATTATTATTATTATTATTATTATTATTATTATTATTATTATTATTATTATTATTATTATTATTATTCAAACCTACTTTGTGGACTTTGTCAAAACAAGTGGAAGTTTCTGTTAAGGCAATGTGATTATTATCTGTCATATTCTTCAGAATATTAGCCGTATTCTTAAATTTACTTTCTAGTCAAAAGAGGAACATTTCAACATACAGTCAAAGAAAGATGGTAATTTTCAGTATAAAGAGGAAACAGACACTCTTGAGACAGCAGTGGTTGCAGGATCCTCAGGAACTGCAGCAGGTTGGTATTTGGCTGAATAGTTCACATGAGCTGAGTTTAGGAGTAAGGATCTACTCTGTTAGGGATCAAGAGAAAGTACAGGACTGGATCCCGCTGCTGTACATTCTGTAGTTCTGCCACCAGGTAGCTTCTGTCTTTATAGTTAAATCGTTTGCACTTATCAGAGAGACATACACAAAACCCAGGATGGAATATCTGAATTCTAATTCTGATGCTGAGCCTCCCTGTGGCCCTGGGCAGCTATCATTTATTGCGTGCTTTGTGTCAGTACCGCCCTGTGCAGTCTGCCACACATGCATTTAAGTGATAGGCTTTGTCCCTAAAAGAGGGTCAAAGAAAGAGGTCAAAGCCTAAAGGGCAAATTGTGATATCACCTCAGTGTATGCTGAACAGATTCTTGTGCTACAAAAAGCTTCATGACAAGATAGATGAATCTAGGAATCAGTTCCTACTCAGTGTCAGTGTATCACAAAGTTGTTCCTATAGGTTATTGAAGATGCTCTTTCTCTCCAAGTAAAACATGGCTAATCTCTTTAATGACTTCAAAAGGTGTTATATGAACTTGCTAGTTATAATTAGCTAACTCTGGAGATTAAAAATTGTACTTAAATACAGGCCAGTTCTTTTTTTTTTTTTTTTTTTTTTTTTTTTTTTTTTTTTTCTAAGTTCTCAGCTTTGGTAAAAACAGAATTTGGCTTATGTTAGTCCTGCACTCTTGCTTATCCCTTTATTGACAAAGCTTCTACTGGAAGTCAATTGAAATTTTTGCCTCATTTAGAGCTGCTTTATGGTGGATTTGGTCCATGCATTAATTTTCCCAGTTATCAACATGTTTTATTTTAAACTGAAGTTTTATTTTAAACTGTAGTTTTATTTTAAACTGAAGTAGTCCCATCTGATCTGCTCTGCAAGACAATAATAAATGGCAAAATACTCAATTCAGAAAAATAAAATTAATGGTATTTT